TGGTGGGAGCGTCCCCTCGGGCAAGCGTTGTCATTTGTTCCTACGCGTCTTTGTATTCGCCTCATCGGCAGAGCACGCGAGCATTTGCAGAGGGCTTGGTGAACTTTACCCGGGTGTCTGCATCTTTAGTGCACACTACGGGCAAGGATAAGCCACCAGGGGACAAAGCATCATTCTTGGAATCGCTGCTGCGGGAGTTGGACAGTCTTTTGGATTTCCCGTTGTCAGTGGTACATTTTGACGACAGCTGGTGCGTCACTAATGCAATCGCCGCGCGCGGAGTGCCAACATTGAGAGCCTGTCGGAGCAGTCATCTCCAGTGAGGTCGCTGCGGTCTACGAAGCAACTACTGAATCCCCGATCCTCCAGGCAACCCTAAAATCTAAACCCTAACTAAACTCTAAACCCTAAACCCTAAACCCTAAACCCTAAACCCTAAACCTTTAACTAACATAGGGGCTTGAAAATTTAGTGATTCTATTGCTTAGGTAAAACCCCCCAAGCTCGGGTCGAGTTCTTTCGGCCTCGACATTACAAAACCCTTGTCGAGCCCTTTAACAGCTTCGTAAACCCCAAGCCCTAAAGCCTAAACCCTGATCCTTAATCCCTAAACCCTAAACCCTAAACTCTAAACCTTATGAACTAAGAACCCTAAACCCTAAACCCTAAACCCTAAACTCTAAACTCTAAGAGCCCTAAACCCTAAACTCTAAACCTTATGAACTAAGAACCCTATGACCCTAAACCCTAATCCCTAAACCCTAAACCCAAAACCCCTACACCCTAAACCCTAAACCCTTAACCTTATGAACTAAGCACCCTAAACCCTAAACCCTAAACCCTAAACCCTAAACCCTAAGAGCCCCAACCCTAAACCCTTAGCCCTAAGAACCCTAAACCCTAAACCCTTAAAGGAATCCTATTGCCCTTGGCCAGGAGTTGCTCCGCGAGTGGGCCGACTCTGCCTTGACGACGGAGAGCACCGCCGCCGCGGACATGGACGAGGCGGTGCCGGGTTTCGGGTTTTAGGGTTGAGTGTTTAGGGTTTAGGGCTTTAGGGGTCTAGGTTTTAGGGTTTTAGGGTTTAGGGGTTTAGGGTTTAGGGTTTTAGGGGTTTAGGATTGAGCGTTTAGGGTTTAGGCTTTTAGGGGTTTAGGGTTTAGGGTTTTAGGGGTTCGGGGTTCAGGGTTTTAGGGTTTAGGGGTTCAGGCTCTAAGATTTAGGGGTTAGGGTTTAGGGTTTTAAGGTTTACGGTTTTAGGGTTTAGGGTTTTAGGGGTTCAGGGTGGTTAGGGTTTAGGATTTTTGGGTTTGGAGTTTTAGGGTTTACGGTTTAGGGGTTCAGGGTTGAGGGTCTAGGGGTTTAGAGTTTAGCGTTTAGGGTTCTAGGGTTTTAGGGTTCAGGGTTTTAGGGTTTAGGGTTGAGGGTTTTAGGGTTTAGGGGTTTAAGGGTTTAGGGGTTCAGTGTTTAGGGTTCAGAGTTCAGGGTTTAGGGATTTAGGGTTTTAGGGTTCGGGGTTCAAGGTTTTAGGGTGCAGGGTTTAGGGTGTTTAGGGTTTAGGGTTTAGGGTTTTAGGGTTGTAGGGTTTTAGTGTTTAGGGTTTAGGATTTGGCTTATACCTAAGGCTCAAAGGACTCATATTTTGAGGCTTTTGGGCCCAACGGCGTTCGGGCTATTTTGATCCTTAGGGATAGGTTGTAATGTTTGGGGTGTGGGGTTCGGGGTTCGGGAAGTAGGGTTTAGGGTTTGGTTTAGGGTAGGCCCTGAACCCTGAACCCCAAAGCCTAAACCCTAAACAGGCCCTAAACCCTAAAGCCTAAACCCTAAACCCTAAAGAATCCCTGTCATACCTGGAAAAGGGAATTTAGGACGTGGAGGTTTTGGAGCTTCCGGGATTCGGGCCTGTTTTTCGTTGTGTTGGGGTTTAGGGTTTTAAGTTTTAGGGCTCAGGGTTTAAATTTAGGGTTTAGGGTTTTGGGTTTTAGGGTTTAGGGTTTAGCGGATTGGGGTTTAGGGTTTAGGGTTTGGGGGTGGTTGGGTTTGAATGTCCCTTGCGTTATAGAGGGATCCCTTAGGCTCCTACACTCCGCATTTCCCCTAAACCCGCAACCCAAACCTCTAGTATGGAGGCCTTAAATAATTATGGTATAATATAAGCCCAAAGCCCTATTTTAATCTTGAAGGCTTCTACATTACATTCCGCACTTACCCTAAACCCTCAACCCCAAACCCGAAACTGTGAGACCCAGGCCAAACATGAGATAGCCCCTAAACCCTAAACCCTAAACGTACAGACCCTAGGGGCTGAGGGTTCCCTAGGGGTTTAGGGGCTGAGGGTTCCCTAGGGATAGGACTTTAGCTTGTTGGGTTTCTATATATGAACTATAACAAGCAGGCTAAAAGTTAAAAGTTTAAGTTCTAGGAGGGGCTTAGAAGTCAGCCAAGAAGGGTCTAGGGTTTAACCCCTAAGCCATAAACACTAAACGCCCTAAACCTTCAACCCTTCTTAGGCCCCAGTTTTCGGAGGTCTCTACATCATAGACTCTAAGGCGATGCCGGGTTTAAGGTTCAGGGTTTAGGGTTTAGTGGAGTTGAGGGTTTATGGGTTTATGGTTTAGGGGTTTAGGGTTTAGGGGTTTAGGGTTTAGGGTTTATTGGTTTAGGGTTTAGGGGTTTAGGGTTTAGGGTTTTCTCCGATTTGGAGTTAGGGTTCCTCGCTCTAAGTTTGAAAGGCGGAGGTTTCGAGGTCAGGATTTTGGGGCGTTTCGAGTCTTTCCTTGAGGAGTCGGGTCTGTTAAGAAGCAGATCTAGATTCCTGAGTAGTACCCTTTTGCCCTTTTTATTTTTGGGGTCTCCTTATTAAAACCGAGTACTAGGAAAAAGGGTGCCCTTATTATTACGGAGTCACTCAGGAACCTAGAGATTAGGGCTTTAGGGGTTTAGGGTTTAGGGGTTAAGGTTTCAGCTCTAGGGTTCAGTAGTAGGGTTTAGGGTTTAGGGCTAAACCCTAAACCCTAAACCGTGACACATGCGGGGCTTCGAAACCCTGAAGGGCCTGAAAGTAAATCCGCGAAGACCTGAAAACGGCTTAGGGGTTTAGGGTTTTAGTATTAGGGTTTGGGAGGGTTCTGTGAGGTTCCTGTAAGAGAAGAAGGCGGCTTCAAGTATCCAAAACGGCACTAGCCCTAAACCCTAAACCCTGAACCCTAAACCCTAAACCCGGATACAGTGTAAGCCTGCAACATGGCAGGTTCCGACTGCACTGCAGAAAAGGGGCCAATACACTTAAAAAAAACCCTAAACCCTTAGAAGAAGGATTTCAGCATTTAGTTCAATTAAGGCAGTTCGGGCCTAGGGGTTTTGGGGCCTCGTGGTTTTGCATTTAGGGTTTAGGGCATATAGGGTCTAGGGTATAGGGTATAGGTTTTAGGGTTTTTTAGGCCCTAAATTCAAGCTTTGGGTCTAGAATGCCAGGCTTACGGGTTATTTGTGTATAGGGTTTTAGGCAAAAGCAGCGGAAGCGTGTGTAAAAAGCCTCAACAAGGGTTTCCGTGAATATAGGAGTTGAGACATCCGTTATTCACAGGTTCTATGCTTTCGAGGCATGACAGATTTCGAAGCAGTTTCCAACAAGCGGTTTTACTATTGGTACAAACCGAAAACCAGATAATACCTACTCACCAAGTGATAAGTTATCATCTGCTGCAACGTTGAGGATCAATTGTTCATGAAAGCCTGTCTTGCATCCTGAGAAGCATCCAAACAATCTAATCGATCACTTGTGTCTTGAACCCTAAACCCCTTACCTTCAACCTTAAACCCTAACAGTTTGCTTTCTCGATCTTTTCATGTCAGAAGACGTCAGGTCTGCTTAGAGGCTGAGGGACTTTTCACGTAGGGTTACACGTAAGGTAAGTTTAGTCATAGCTACTTGCAATCCGAAGTAGGTGTCCGCCGCCCCTCCAAGTGGGAAGCAGTCATGAGGGAGAAAAATGCGCTATGCGAGTGGTGCAGTCCTGGCGACGCAGCAACAGTCGCCGTTTCGGCCGTCACACTGTGACGAGTGATGTGATGGGCCTGTCGTCGGCCGTGCGCAGGCAAAGATGTTTCAAAAGAAAAAGTGGCCGTGACGCAACCGGAAGCAATAAACGAAGCATCCGTCGAAGAGGCACCCACCGCAACCGGCGATGATGTCGTCATGATCGAGGACGGCGAGGAGGAAGTCCCAGCCGCTACCGACGAGCCTGTGGATCGGCCGGCAACAAAGTCTGCCAACAAGATGCCTCCACAGCCTGAGTACCGGATCCTTCCACCACTTTTTGGGCTTTCCTATGTGAGATACCCCTCCCCCCAACCCAGTTCTGGCTGTGTGTGCGCAGGACCATAAAGGGCGATTTGTCAGAAGGCGGCTAAGCCCTAAACCCTAAAACCCAAACCCTAAAACCTAAACCCTGAACCCTAAACCCGGCCCTAATCCCTAAACCCGAAACCCTAAACCCTAAACCCGTTAGGGTTGAGGACCCGTGGGTTCCACCGCTTCTCTAAGGGCTCAACGAAGGATAAGGGGGCTTAGCGTAGGGTTTAAGGTTTAGGGTTTAGGGTTTAGGGTTTCTTGTAAGGGTTCAAAGGGTTTAGAAGCCTTTATAATTAGAATAATAGGGCCTTATTGCCCATTATAGCACTATAATTCTAAAAAGGAGCCCCCAAAATCGTATAGGTAATTATTTACGCCCGTACATTTTAGAGCTTCGGAGTTGAGGGTGGTAGGGCTTAGGGTTTGAAAACGATGCATGGTGGAAGGGCTTGCGAGATAATGTAGGGGCCTCAATCATTACCAATACTATTTTTTTTTTTTGGGGGGGGGGGTTTAGGGTTTAGGGTTTAGGGTTATTATAAGTATAGTCTATTATACCCAAGACCCTATTCTGATTATTCAGGCCCCCTACATTAACCCTCGTAGCGACGTCGTAGTGTTCCTGAGGGGTCTCCTTATGCAGGAAAAGGGCAGCCGTACTGTATAGGGGAGACTGGCGAGCCTGTTTAGGGTTTAGGGTTGAGGATTTAGGGTTTAGGGTTTAGGGTTTAGGATTTAGGGTTTAGGGTTTAGGGCTTAGGGTTAAAAGTTCTTACAGACTCCAGAAGACACGACAACATCTCACAACAGCCCTCATTTTAAGGCCTTAAGAAGCCCTAAGCCCCAAACCCTAAACCCTAAACCCCAAGCCCTAAATCCCTACACCATGCGAGCTCTAGAGCCTTTGGCTGCCCAAGGGGCGTAGGGTTTAGGGTTTTAGGGGTTTAGGGTTTTGGGCTTTAGGGTTTAGGGCTTTAGGGCTTTAGGGTTTAGGGCTTGAGGGTTGTAGGGTGTAGGGCTTTAGGGTTGTAGCGTTTGGGGTTTTAGGGATTTTAGGGGTTTACGGTTTTAGGGTTTTCAGGGCTTTAGGGCTTTAGGGCTTTAGAGGGTTTAGAGTGTGCGGTTTACAGTTGCTGCTGTTTTAGAAGGGTCTTTCAGGGTTTCAGAGGGTTTCGGTTCGGGGGTTGCTCAATAGTAACCAGTGTTCCTTCTTAAGGGCTCAAGGCCTTGGGGGGGGGGGG